AAGTAGAATAGTTATATGAAATTACCTCTATGTTAGCAGACATGTAAGTAATTCTCATTTTAAATGTTAAATGTGGGCCAGGTACGGTGGCTCATGCCTGTAATCCCAGCACTTTGGGAGGCCAAGGTAGGCAGATCACCTGAGGTCAGGAGCTCGAGACCAGCCTGGCCAACATGGTGAAGCCCTCTCTCTACTAAAAATACAAAAATTAGCCGGGCATGGTGGCAAGTGTCTGTAGTCCCAGCTACTCAGGAGGCTGGGGCAGGAGAATTGCTTGAACCCAGGAGGCAGAAGTTTCAGTGAGCTGAGATCGCACCACTGCACTCCAGCCTGGGCAACAGAGCGAGACTTCATCTCAAAAAAAAAAAAAAAAAAGAAAGAAAAAAAAATATATATATATGTATATATAAATGTTAAATGTGCAGTATGTTTTGTGTTTTTGATAGCCCCTGAATCCTATGAGGAACTGAGATCTCTATTGTTAGGAAGATCGATGGAAGAGCAGCTTTTGGTGGTGGAGAGAATTCAGAAGTGCAACCACCCGAGTCTCGCAGAAGGAAACAAAGCAAAATTAGAAGTACGTGGATTGAGTGTGTGTGGAGTCCTGGGAGTGTCGGCACAGCCCCGTATATGAATGCCAGAATTGTGTGAAGTTGTGCAACGGCCACGTGTGCCTCAGGCCAGATGGGGCCAGCCTGTCACCTGGTTACCTATGATGATGGCTGGGAACACTTGGTATGGCACAGGCAGAGGCCTCCCTTGGCTTTGGCTCCTCTCTAAGCCTCGTGCCAGAGCCAGCCAGAGGCAGGCATGGGGACCTTCACCTTCATGTTACAGGGGAGGACACTAAGGTTAACATAGCCACAAGTAGCAGAGCCAGACTGCTGTCAGATAGGTGGCTGTGATTGTGCCTTTTCCTCTCAGTGAGAGGGGGGGCGCCGTGCTGTGTGTGCTCCTCATGTTGCTTTCCTAGTGATGTGTTGTCTGCTGTTCTACAGAAGGATACACCTGACCCTTAGCTTTCCCCCCTCTACACTTTCTAGTGCTTAGCAAGTTCTAGCAGTGTCTTTGCTTGCATGTTAGAAGGCTGCTCATGTCTGTATCCCTGGGCTCCCCCGCCCCACCTGGTTGTCACCAGAATGCAGCTTGATCTGGAAGCTGTGTGCCTGTGGCTTTGTTCTTGGTGCTGAGCACTGAGCTTTATTTCCCAATTCATGTTCCTGCAGAAACTGTTTGGCTTTCTTTTGGAGTACGTTGGCGATTTAGCTACAGATGACCCACCAGACCTCAGAGTAATTGATAAATTGGTTGTGTAAGTAAAAAACGTGTGTTATCTGGGATGTGGGGCTGAGCAGAACAGTTTTTCTCCCATTTAGAGTCATAAAAACACATTCCAGAGTTACTAAGGTAGGTGGCATGGTGGCGTCGGCATGCCAGGTAGGCGGGTGGTCACCCAGGGTTTGTGAGTCTCACAGCACAAGCCCGCTTCTCACACATGCCGCTCCAGCCACCGTAGAGCTGGGACTGACTTTTAACCACAAACAAGTTGATTTTGAAACAAGTGAACCCCTTTAGATTTGTGGCTGGGATGGGGTGGCTCATTGTAAGTTTCAAGCTCTGGGTGACTGAGATATTTGGAAAGCATGGTAGACACCCCGCCCCTCAGCCCTCAGTGAAACCCAGTTGGGTGGTTCTGCATGCCAGGGAGTGTGTCCCTCTTGTCTGCATGGGGCCTTCCAGGGCGAGTTCCCGCCCTCGCTGCACTCTTAAGTCTGTGTGACCATGACCCACTCGGTGGCTCCTGGCCCCCGGGGCCGGTGGCAGGAAGAATGCCAGAGGGGCAGAGTTATCAGTTGAGAGTGTTGGTGTCCTATCCGTGAGAGCACACACCAGCTTCCTGCCCTGTGCCGCACAGAGCTCTCCACGTCATCTGCGTACATGGAGACACTATCAAAGAAGTACCTGTCGTGAGGAATAAATGAGTTAATATGGAAAGTGCCTTGGAGCTGTCCACTGCAGCTGCCACACAGAGCGGTGCCCCCAACAACGGTTACCACAGATCAAGCTGTTTCTTCCACCACCTCCAGTCCATGTTATGGCCGAGTTTTTAGGAAATGGCAGAAGTGAGTGTAGACTGTTAAGAATACTGTTAGAAAAAGCAGATTCATCCAGTTCTTACTTGCTCAGTCAGCAGGTGATTTCATAGGAAAATGGCTTGCAGGGTTTTTGTGTTTCTTATCTAAAGTCATTCTCTCCTGACTTTCATTTCTGCTGAACAGGCAGTTATATAATCTTTGCCAGATGTTTCCTGAATCTGCAAGTGACGCTGTCAAATTTGTTCTCCGAGATGCCATGCATGAGATGGAAGAAATGATTGAGACCAAAGGCCGGGCAACATTGCCAGGGTTGGACGTGGTAAGCAGAGTTCAGTTTAGGCACTGCCCCTGCCATGGAGGTTCTGATGGTATCACAGAAGGCCGATGATGGGTACGATGCTCTTGGCCGCGCCCTGTCCTCCAGGGTGATCTGGAGCGAGAGCTGCAGGGCAGCGAGCCTGGGAGGGGGGTGGCACTCCTCCACTAGCCACGGACTAACGTGTGGGTCGTACAAGGAGATTCTGGTTTGATTCCACGTGAATGGTGCCATATTTGGTCCAGTGACAGAAATGTTGGAAGGCAAATAGAGCCACAATATTTTCCATAAGGGCCCAAGCCTATGAACTGGTTTTAATTGGTCTCGGTTTCTGTGTTATTCAAAGGTTGGGAGACATTTGAACACTAAGATTTTTAACAATTTTATAACAGCCTCATGCTGTATTTTCAGCTTTAGTAACTTTAAGGAAATACTTGCTGAGATATGCTCTTTATTGCCTGGTGTTTGTGTTGAAATGGATTCACAATAGTTAGCAGAAGCTTAAAACTGTAGGTAGGACTTAGGTTAATGATTTTAATCAACTCCCCAAAACGGGATCTGAGCCCGTGTCTGTAACCATTGCTGACTGCTTCAGCGAAGCCTTCACGGGCCTCAGCACAGTGTCCTCACTGTACGTTTAGCTGTTTGACTCACGGTGGTTGGATGCCTGTTCTGTGACACTGAGGCCAGAACTCTGGGCCAAGGAGATGTACCCTCTCCTCCCCAGAGCCTGTTCTTGGCTCCGGAGTGTTTGTGGGGAGGGCATATGGATGGACTTCATTTACCTTCTTTAACCTGTATGGTAACACTTTCTTTCCAGCTCATTTATTTGCAAATCACTAGGTTGCTGTTTCCAACTTCCGACTTCTGGCACCCGGTGGTGACCCCTGCCCTCGTGTGCCTGAGTCAGCTGCTCACCAAGGTGTGTCCTCTCCACACACAGCAGGGGCCGGCCTGCTACACCACGGGTGGCCAGAGCCACAGCCCCTCGGGGCCTTGTGGAACATAAGCGTGGCGGTTCAAGGGCTGCAGAGACTGAGCACTGGGGTTAGGTATAAGAGGGCCCATCTAGGCCGGGCGCGGTGGCTCAAGCCTGTAATCCCAGCACTTTGGGAGGCCGAGACAGGCGGATCACGAGGTCAGGAGATCGAGACCATCCTAACATGGTGAAACTCTGTCTCTACTAAAAATACAAATAGTTAGCCGGGTGTGGTGGCAGGCGCCTGTATTCCCAGCTACTCGGGAGGCTGAGACAGGAGAATGGCATAAACCCAGGAGGCGGAGCTTGCAGTGAGCTGAGATCCGGCCACTGCACTCCAGCCTGGGCGGCAGAGCAAGACTCCGCCTCAAAAAAAAAAAAAAAAAGAGGGCCCATCTGAAAGAGCCCTAGGTCGAGCAGCCCGAGATGTGGGTGGGAGTGGGAGAGCCTGGTTTGGCACCTCAAGGTTACAGATGGTGGGACCCCAGAAAACAACCTTTCGAGTTAGTGGTGAAGTTATCCAGTGTGAAGATAAGGACTTTTGTTCCCTTTTTGGCTTAAAAAGTTTAAGCTGTTCCTTTTTCTTTATTAGGCATGTGATTGGTACATGCTTACTGCAGTAATCGTACGCTCTGTATGGGTGGAAGGAACTTTATAAATAGTACAGCTCTGGCTGGGCACAGTGGCTCATGCCTATAATCCCAACACTTTGGGAGGCCGAGGCGGGCGGATTGCCTGAGGTCAGGAGTTCAAGACCAGCCTGGCCAACATGGTGAAACCCCGTCTCTACTAAAAATACAAAAATTAGCTGGGTTTGGTGCCACATGCCTGTAATCCCAGCTACTCCGGAGACTGAGGCAGGAGAATCACTGGAACCCGGGAGGTGGAGGTTGCAGTGAGCCGTGATTGTGCCATTGCACTCCAGCCTGGGCAACAGGAGTGAAACTCTGTCTCGGGGGAAAAAAAATCACTAAAGCTCTTTATGTTTTTGTCATCTCACTTGGTCCTCTCAACACTGCCATCAGGTGCGGGGGTTCCCTCTGTACCCGTGAAGCTCAGTGGGGTGTGTGGTTCAGGGAAGCCCGGTGGTTGGCCTAGCATGGCATGACATCGTCCCAGGACAGTAACCCCCCCAAATATTCTTTTCCAGTGCCCTGTCCTGTCCCTCCAGGACGTGGTGAAGGGCCTGTTCGTGTGCTGCCTGTTCCTGGAGTATGTGGCTTTGTCCCAGAGGTTTATACCTGAGCTTATTAATTTTCTTCTTGGGATTCTTTACATAGCAACTCCAAACAAAGCCAGCCAAGGTGAGTTGATTTGAAGAAGCTTCCTACCAATATTTTATACTTTAGAGTGTTTTAAAGTAGTTCATACTCATTGTAGAAGGTTTAGAATATGGAAAAGTAGAGGAAACATACAAACCTGCCACCCGCCGTCCTGAGTAGCACCCTCTTTCCCTCTGTGTGAGCGTGCACATGCCATGTGGGGAAAAGCAGCGCCACCGGTGACCTGTGCTGTCCAGCGTGGTCTCCATTGGCCAGAGTCTGAACTGAGACATGCCCCACGTGTGACACATGCCCAGGTGGCGAAGACAGTGCCAGAAATACTAAAATATCTTAATTTTTTGTATTATGTGTTAAAATCACAATATTTTGGTATTTGGGGTTAGATAAGATCTATTGTTAAAATCAATTTTACCTTTTTACTTTTTCCTCACATGACAACAAGGCAGTGTGAAAGTTCTCGTGTGGCTCACACAGGCATCGCTGCTGTGTTGCTTCTGTAACGCTCTGAACTCGGGAGGGAGGGTGGCAAGAGCAGCGCTGGGATGAGGAGCAGTCTGCCCACTGCCTGCCCTCCTGGGCCCTCACCCCAGCCCCTGTGCTCCTCCCCCTTCCCCTGATGCCAACTCTGCTCCCGGATGCTTCCTCAGCACTTGCTGCTTCCCTTTGGGGGGGCGAAGAGCTGTGCAGCCTCTGTCCTGAACTCTTCCATGTCTGTGGATGCCTCTCCCAGCCTGACCAGAGGTTGGACCTCAAGGCTAAGACCCCCGCCCTCTATTTCCAGTTCACCGTGCAGTGCCAAGCGCCTGCATGTCGAGGGGACTGACCTGAGGAGCAGGTGCTCTGGCATCATTCACACTGCCAGCAGAGTCCCTTCCAAGAGGGATTTGGCCATTCCTCCGGTTCAGTGCTCCCATTCTGCCACCCCCTGGCTCCCGAGGCTCCTGTCTGTCAGGCTTGGTGCCGGGTGCCAGAGAGGCGCGGTCGCCCACATGCTCCCTGCCTCAGGGAGAGCCACCTGCAGATTGCTGCAGTCCCGCGTGTGAAGGGCTGTGAAGGAACAGGCTGGGCACGGGTGGAGTCAGGGAGGGGGCGTGCATCTCGGCTTTGGGGGAGTGGGACGGGGCTTGACCCACCACCTTCCCCTCTCTCTTGGCCTGGCACCTCCGCCCCACTGTGCCTGTCTCCATCCCTCCCCCTGCAGCCACGCCCTCAGCCTGGATTGCCCTTCTCTGTGGATTGACTCCTTCGTGTCCTACAGGCCTTTGCTGACATCTGCCCCCTCAGGCCTCTCCCGCCCTGCACCGTCACCCGACTGACCCTGCTGTCTGCCCCCTGCCCCTCTGCTTTCCTTTCTCGTGTTCTGTCTGGTCCATTTGCTCCTTGGGGTGCTGTTCGCTGCCTGTCTCCCGACAGGGGCAGGGACTTCAGTCTGTTCCTGGATGTGGCCTGAGCGCCTCATCAGCCCCATGTGGTGCCTAGTAGGTCCCAGGACGTCTGTTGCAAGCAGGCCTCCCAGGCAGGATCAGGCACTTGGCTCTCACCGCACCCCCTGCCAGAGCTTTCCCCCTTCCCCTGAGGTGTCCCTGCCCACACGGAAACCCTCAGTGTCTGGCACAACCCAGAAACATAAAAATCAGTGTGTGTCTGTTAGAGAGTGAACTTCCACAGGCTTGGTGCTGCAGAGCCTGCTGGGAGCCCAGTAACGTTCAGGCCATCTCTGTCCTGTCGCACTTGGAATTCAGGTTCCACTCTGGTGCACCCTTTCAGAGCACTTGGGAAGCACTCGGAACTGCTTGTGGTGTCTGATAGAGAGGATGTGGCCACGTGGCAGCAGAGCAGCCTCTCCCTCCGCTGGGCGAGTGGACTGAGGGCCCCCACTTCAACAGAGGCCAATCACATCCGGTATGTGAGGGGACCCCGCTTTGGGGCCTGTGCCCTATGCGTCCCCAGAGGTAGGAGGAGCCACTCATGCTTTCTGATGGGCTGTTAGCGAACTTGCTGCCCGGCTGTTTGGCTTGATGGAGGGTGAAAGCCTTTCTGAGGCATGGTGTCCCTTTTTTTTTCATTTTCAAAATACATTTGTTTGATTTCACAAATCATAACTTGGAGCCAAAAATGGAGCCACCCCATCCCAGCTGGCGCTGCGTTTCCCACAGCCTTCCCTCCTGCATTAGGCCTGACACTGAGCCTACCTTGCCCGTGGGTGTATGGGCCCAACCCTGGCCAGCTAAGGTGACCACATTGAATTTTTCAGCCTAGTGGAAGTGGGGAAGTTCATTTTTGCCATGTTACTGGTTTTGTCAGTGACAAATAGAACAAGTTGGACCTCTTCTTGCCTCCTGCCCTCACAGACTGTCCTGCCTGGCTGTGGGCCTGGCCCTGCTGAAGCGCTGTGTGCTCATGTATGGGTCCCTGCCATCCTTCCACGCCATCACGGGGCCTCTCCGAGCCCTCCTCACAGATCACCTGGCGGACTGCAGCCACCCCCAGGAGCTCCAGGTGAGGCTTCCTCGCCCCTCGGGTGCTTTACCTGGGCTCAGACATGTCCCTGAGCTGGGGCCGAGCTGGGGCCAAGCTGGTGGCATTTGGTCATTTGAGGCTGCAGCTCTAAGTCAACACCATCTGCAAAATCACAAACATGAAAGGAAAGTGAAATCCTAAAACTGGGCAGTGACAGTGAGCAGTGCTGGGCTGGAGTAAAGCAGATGCTGCATCTCAAGCTGTAGCTGGGAGCTGTCGCCTTGTGTGCCACCTCGAAGAGGCCACACGGAGGGTGCACCAACGCCCGGGGGTCAGCCCCTGCTAGTCCTGGACAGTCAGCTCTGAACCGCGCCCTGCAGTACGGATGGGTTTTCGAGGATGGCCTTACCATCCTGCACAGGGTGACAGGAAGCCCCAGTGGACAGTCTCAGGTGGACCCAAGAATGAGTCTTCGATGCCAGGCACATCCTGTCCTCTGTGGGCCGCTCGAAATTCACTTACAGCCTATCCACCTCCCTCTCTTTCAGCCTGACCCTGACAGGCTGTACCCTGCATCCACTTCCTGCTTGACATGGCTGTGGCTTGTGCCTTTCATCCTGCCCCAACCCCGCCCCTCAGCCCACACCAGTGCAGGATGCTGCTAGAGCCGAAGGCATCAATGCCATGTCCACAGCTGCCCCCACAGGGGTGCCCTGCACCACTAGCACAGCCCTGGCAGCCTTGCCTCGTGCCCTTCCCTCATGCGCTCTGGCCTCCTCGCAGGCCTGGCTCCGTCTCAGGAGTTGTTCTCTGTACCTGGAACTCTTCACAGCCGTGCTGCTTGCACCCATGCCCTTGGGAAGCCAGGCCTTCGCTGGCCCACACTGCGCCATGCTCCCTGTGTCTTGTCTGCGGTGCGGACCCCCAGGCACGTTACACCGTCCTTGTCTCTGCCCCACTAGGATGAGAGTTCCATGAGGACAGCAACTCGGCCCGTCCCTGGCCAGGTGCTTGGAGCATAGAGCAGACAAGCCAGCCATCACAGACTCCCATCGCCTAGTCAAAGGCTGAGGAATAGGAGACATTAGTTCTGCCCCTTATCCTGTACCCACTTTCTGCTGATGTGGCCATGGGTTGTGCCTTTCATTTAAAAATCTTTGGGTTGGCCTGGCTGAGGGGCACAACAGGCCTTGTGGTCTTCGTAGACTGAGCCAGTCAGGCCCTTGAGTTTAGCCTCCATGGAGACGTGGCATTCAGGCACTCGAAGGTTACATCCAGATGGGCCCAGGAGTGGCTGTGTCTGTGGGTGCAGTTAGCCAGGGTTCCAGGACACACTGTGCAAGAGAAAGTGGGTAGGACCAACGTCAGTGAACTGGCTTTCGGGAGATTGCTCAGAAGCCACCAGCCAACTCTTCTGGAAGCCAAGGTCTTGGTGAAAGTGGGCCTTAACCATCTGTTGGTTCTGTTGGCTTGAAAATAAGGTCAAACTGCCAAGACTGGTAGAAACCCTGCCCCACCTGGCACCCAGCATCAGTCTGCACGCCTGGGTTCTAGCGTGCACGCGGCCCCCCGCGGCAGAAGGGGGTTCTCCTGGGACCCTTCTCACGAAGCAGGTGGCTCATGGCCTTTCGTGCCAAGTTTGTCTGGGAAAGGGGTTATGTTGACGTTTCTGGCGGTGAGGAGCACAGACTGTCATGACCTCCAAGTCCCCTCCTTTCAGAGTGCTCTCCGGGGCCAGCACACGGGCCCCTCCCTCTTCAGGAAAACAGTGGCTTGACTTTGTTTTGGCTGTGCCAGACCTTGAGCAGCCACAGCCTTGGCTTCCCCTCCACCGGTGGGCACACAGCAAGGGCACCATCCTGCTGCGGGGAGCTCACAGTACTGTCCTCAGCTGCCTGGACGCCGCAGAACCTGCGCGTGGAGCTCAGGTCGCAGCAGGCAAGTCATCGCAGCGTCGGGGATTGTGTGTTTTTCAGGAGCTGTGTCAGAGCACACTGACCGAAATGGAAAGCCAGAAGCAGCTCTGCCGGCCACTGACCTGTGAGAAGAGCAAGCCTGTCCCACTGAAGCTGTTCACGCCCCGGCTGGTCAAAGTGTGGGTGTTGGCAGCATCTCCCTAGGGGGCCGGGACTGGGGGCTCAGTGGGAGCTGACGGGGGGTGTCTGCCAGTTCTGCAGTTGAGCAGATGACTACGGAGCGAAGCCACACTCCCGAGCAGGCTCTGGCCGAGAGGTGGGGACAGATTCTTGCTTCCTTAACAGTGGCTTTTTGATTGTAGCCTCGAGTTTGGAAGAAAACAAGGCAGTAGTAAGGAGGAACAGGAAAGGAAGAGGCTGATCCACAAACACAAGCGTGAATTTAAAGGGGCTGTTCGAGAAATCCGCAAGGACAATCAGTTCCTGGCGAGGATGCAACTCTCTGAAATAATGGAACGGTGAGGGGGATGTGTGTGTGCGACATGATTGTGATGTGACTCAGCTTTGGTGCTGTGTGGCCCTGGGCAGAGCACTGGGCACCTGGCATCCCACAGCCTTGGCTCTGGCTAGGGTCTGGAGCCAGGCAGGTTCGCTTCCCCTGTTTGAGCTGAGCGTGGCCACAGTGGCTAATGTTCTGATGTGGGAGAGAGAGGGCAAGACGCTCTCCAAGAACTAATCCAGGCCGGGCGCGGTGGCTCAAGCCTGTAATCCCAGCACTTTGGGAGGCCGAGACGGGCGGATCACGAGGTCAGGAGTTCGAGACCATCCTGGCTAACACGGTGAAACCCCATCTCTACTAAAAAAGATACAAAAAGCTAGCCGGACGAGGTGGCGGGCGCCTGTAGTCCCAGCTACTCGGGAGGCTGAGGCAGGAGAATGGCGTAAACCCGGGAGGCGGAGCTTGCAGTGAGCTGAGATCCGGCCACCGCACTCCAGCCCAGGCGACAGGCGAGACTCCGTCTCAAAAAAAAAAAAAACTAATCCAAAAATGGGCATTTGCCTTTTGTTTCTTTTAGGGATGCAGAAAGAAAACGGAAAGTAAAGCAGCTTTTTAACAGCCTGGCTACACAAGAAGGTGAATGGAAGGCTCTGAAGAGGAAAAAGTTCAAAAAATAAATTACGTTTTATAAATTAGGCAAGGAAATACTGGACATTACCTCACATCTGCAATTCCAGCCCTCTAGGAGGCCAAGGCAGGATTGCTTCAGCTCAGGAGGTTCAAGACCAGCCGGGGGAGGACCCTGTCTCTACAAAAAAAAATTTTTTAATTAGCCAAGTGTGGTGGCACGTACCTGTAGTTCCAGCTACTCGGGAGGCTGAAGCAGGACTGCTTGAGCTGAGTCCAAAGCTACAGTGAGTCGTGATCAAGCTACTGCACTCCAGCCTGGGCAACTGTACAAGACCCTGTCGCTTAAAAAAATAAAAAATAGATCTTTTTTTTGAGACAGGAGTTTTGCTCTTGTCCACCTTCTAGGTTCCAGCGATTCTCCGGCTTCAGCCTCCCCAGTAGCTGGGATTACAGGCATGCGCCACCACGCCCAGCTAATTTTGTATTTTTAGTAGAGATGGGGTTTCTCCATGTTGGTCAGGCTGATCTCAAACTCCCAACCTCAGGTGATCCACCCGCCTTTGCCCCCCAAAGTCCTGGGATTACAGGTGTGAGCCACAGCACCCAGCCAAAAAAGTAATTTTTATTAAAGTAGTAATGCTGTAATGTTGGTGTGATTCCAACCTCCGACCACCCCCCGCAGTTTTGTTCCTGTTAAAACACCTCCTGATGAAATAAAATGAATTCTGAAATGCGCCTCTGGGATGGGGAATGGTCTGCGTGATGTCAGCTGCGACTGGTTCACTGCATCTGGACAAGCCTCAGTTCGTGCTGCCAGGGTTGGCACTGGGGATTCTGGCCAGTGTAATTTCTGTCAACCATGGACATTTGCCTTCATGTATAGAATTTAGACTGTTGTTATGCAAATTATATTTTCTATTATAAATGAAACAAGTTTGCAAATAGCTTAGAAATCAGAGAAGGGAAACGTCACCCACAGTCCCCTGCTGGAACAGCCACGGTTGGCCTTGCCCTGCTTACGCCCTTCAGTGGATGCTTCTGGGCGCTGCGGTCTTCCATTCAGGACACTGCACTGTGGGAGCTGGGAGAAGACTGGGTTGCATCTGTGCCAACCTGTGATACCGTTTCAGGTGAGAATCAGAAGATGCGCATGTTATGGATGAGGCAGCTTTTTAAAGTGCTTTTACCCTGCACTAACCAAGAAGGAAGTCGGCCCTCAGCTTTACTGGACCCAGGAGGGGCTGTGAGTTGTAAGGAATAATGACCCCCCTTGAACTTGACAAGCTGGCCAGGGAGCCACATCCCGAATGCCACGGCCACTTCCTCACGGCGCATGGTTTGTTGGACCTGCGACCTTGCGGAGGGAGGTGCTGAAGTAGGAGTTTCCCTGTACCAATATGGTATGCTGTCTTACAGGCAGAGGCATTCCCCAGTGGACTATGGAGCCACTGCCGGGCCACAAAGCCAGGGAGGCATGGAGCTTGTGTCCTTAGCCGGCATCCCAGGAAAGCAGCCCAGGGTCAAATTCACACCACATGAGATCACACTGACCAGCCCTGCCTAGGCTGCCCTAGTATGTGCATGAAGCATCGCTGCGGTCACACGTCTAGCCACAGTGACCATGGTGAGATTTAACCAGACCAGGACTGGGGAAGTGAGGAAGGTGACAAGGACCCAGTTCCGGCTTCTAATGAGGTGTGGGATCTTTAGGCAAGGAAGAAGGTGCTGCGGAGAATGAGTCTGGCTTTGTTCTTGTTGGGAGGTGTTGAGGCCACGGCTGGAGCACAGCATGAGCCATCCTCAGTGTGAGAGGCAGTTACTGCTGTGGTTGGGCTGCCTGGTAGGCCTGGAGCTAATGAGCCAGTCTCCCCCTGCAAAGTGGCAGACAGACAGCGCTGCTGGCAGCGGGACTGAAGCCAGCAGCTTGAAGATGAGGCTCACGTCCTGACAGGGGCATGTATTAGCCTCCCCAGATGGCTCCGAGACATGTCTGGCAGGTGCAAGGATCCACAAATCCAGAAGGGTCTGGGCTTGTCACATCCACCAACTAGGCTGGCTGTCTTGTCACCGTGTAGGCCCAGGATGCTGTTACCAACGGCTGCAGGATTTCACCCACTGACAAATTTTCTCTGCCACACGGCTACTGCCACTTTAATTCACCAAGCCAAGCCCTTGCACTGAGGACCCTGGCCCAACTGTCCAAGCAAAGAGGAAGAGAAAACAGGACAGAAAAAAATGCGGGACCAGACCAGGCACCTGGCTCTCCGTTGAGGCCTTGCTATCCAACCCAGGACAGAAGGTGCCGGCAGCAAGCTCATACACCCTAGCTGTGTCGTCATCGAAGAGGGCGCGTGATCCAGCTGGAAGGGTGGATAAAGATGTTAACTGCCCAATGGGTTCGCCTTCCCTGTTACCTACACAGCCAATTTATCAAGAAAGGGCATTTGCAATAGAGAAGTAATTCACACAGAGCTAGCTGTGCAGGAGACCGGAGTTTTATTACTCAGTCTCCCTGAGCATTTGGGGATTGGAGTTTTTAAAAATAAGTTGGTGGGTGGGGACAGCCAGTGAGTCAGGAGTACTGATTGGTCCGGTCAGAGATGAAATCACAGGGAGTCAAAGCTGTTCTCTCGCACTGAGTCAGTTCCTGGGTGCCACAAGATCAGATAAGCCTGGGTGGTGCCAGCTGATCCATCAAGTACTGATCTGAGGCTTTACTATAGTGGTGTTACCGCCAGGAGCAGTTTGGGGAGGGTCAGAATCCTGTAGCCTCCAGCTGCATGACTCCTCAACCATAGTTTCTAATCTTGTGGCTAATCTTTTAGTCCCATAAAAGCAGTCTAGTCCCCAGGAAAGGTTTCTTTTGGGAAAGGGCTATTATTTTTGTTTTAAACTAAGTTCTTCCCAAAGTTCAGCCTACGCCCAGGAATAAACAAGGAGAGCATGGAGGTTAGAAGATGGAGCTGGTTCTCTCTCACTGTTACAAGTTTGCAATGGCAGTTTCATAGGGATGCCTGTCCTCTGAGGAAAAAGCGAATTAACAGGTTGTCTTTTTGACTGCAGGTGGAAAAACGCTTCTATTAGGCAGAGGTGGGGCTTTGTTCTTACCCACAATTGGAAGCTCTGTGTGGAGTAAAGGCAGCGTGTGTGCCACCTGATTCCTTTCCCCATGTGTATCTGGTTGGGGTCGGCCACAAGAGATCCGCACGTACTTCAGAAGGTGGGAGGGGAGGCGGGAGCTGGCTGTAGGCCGGGCGTTGGCGCGGTTCCTTGAGTGTGCTGGCCCCGGGGCACGGCACGGGCAGCAGCCAGGCCCAAAGCTTCTGTCTAAAGCTCCTCCTGCCCAGGGGACCGTTTCCTCCAGCGCTGGGTCAGGTGCTTCTGCGCCCGGCAAGAGCGCCAGCTCCTCCCTGACCCAGGAACGGGGTCGCAGGCCCAGGCGGCCAAAAAGGTGCCAACCGGGTCCTGTGGCTTTCAGTTCTCTGCCCACCCAATTCACACCATGTTTCCCCCTCAGCCGCCTGTCCTGGGACTTCAGGCTCTGCAGCAAACGCAGCAAAAGGAGCTGCACAGAGACAGCGGGGTCGGCTCACGCGGCCCGAGTAGAATGGCTGTGCTGCTGCCCCAGGCCCGCGACCACCGCTATGTGTGTGGCAGGAGTCAGCCCCCCGGCGTGGGGTCCTGAAGCCCGCGGTCCTTCCACGGGGAGGGCCAGGCCCGCACGGCGCAGAGGCTGGGGGACGGGCTGCGCGACGCTCGCCTGAGGCCCCGCACACGTGTACACCTCAGGCCCATGGCTCCGCTCCGCGGGGCAGGCGTCGTCGACCCAGGGAGGCCAGGCCGGGAGTCTCGGCCTCCGGGTTACGTGGGGGCACAGCTCCTCCGCTCCGGTCAGGGTGCTGCTAACCCACGGCCAAGCAGTGAACCGCAGGACAGGCGAGAACCCAGCCACGCCCACCGGCCGGAAGACAGCGTACCGACATGTTCGTCACTTCCGGGGCTTGGCGTGACCGGGCGTGGCCGTCCCGCCCCTGGCGGCGTGCCTGGCGCCGTGTTCCGCGTCCGTGCGACCGTCTGTCCCGAGCGCGCAGCCGCGGCAGGTGCGGGGCGGGACCGGGGGCGCGCGGGGTGGGGGGCGTAGGGGGCGCGCGGCGTGGGGGGGCGTAAGAAGCGCGCGGGGTGGGGGGCGTAGGGGGCACGCAGGGTGGGAGCGGACAGGAGACGGGGCGTGGGGGAGGAGGCGGGACCGGGGACACGCGGGGTGGCGCGGGTGGGAGGCGCGCGGGGTGTGGGGCTGGACCAGGGGCGCGCGGGGTGGGGGCGGGACCGGGGCGCACGCGGGATGGCAGGGTGGGAGGCGCGCGGGGTTGAGGGCGCTCCCGCGTCCAGTGTGCAGGCCATGGCCCCCGCCAGGGAGGCCGAGTCCGGACCAGGGGCCGGGATCTCGGCGCGCGTGTTGGGGTTGGGGTCCGGGTCCCCCGCGGCTTCAAGTTTCCTCTCTCACTCTGTTACGAGGGCGTGGGAGGCGCGGCCGTGGGGCGGGGTGGGGCCGGGCTCGCGATGTGCTCACCCCGATTCCTGGGGACCGTTGCCTTTGTGGCTATGATTTCTTGTGCAACCCCCGAAGCCTGCGTTTCCTGATGCCTGGGTCGGAGCGGGGGCATCGCGCAGGCCAGAATGGCCCCTGCGTCTGTAGGCCGGAGGCTCTGCTATCAGCCCCTTTAGGGTGCTCGCCAGCTGTCGGGTGTGGGGGCATGGCAGGCCCTGGAGGACCCAGTTTCCCCGCTCACCCGACCCGCCACACCCCAGCCAGGCCAGGTCAGAGCAGCCCACCATGGGACGGGGAGGGGGTGGAGGCTGCACCCCGCGCCCACCCATCCACCAGCAGCCACCAGAGCGCCGCGTGGTCACCGTTGTCTTCCTTGGCCTCCTGCTGGACCTCCTGGCCTTCACGCTGCTGCTGCCCCTGCTTCCCGGGCTGTTGGAGAGCCACGACCGTGCCCACGTGAGTCCTTGCCCTGCGGCCACAGTGCCCCCCGCCCCCCAGGCCCATTGGACCTCCCCAGCCCTTATCGTGCCTCCTCATCCCCTAGGACCCCCTTTATGGCTCCTGGCAGGGTGGGGTGAACTGGTTTGCCACCGCCATCGGGATGCCAGTGGAGAAGAGATACAACAGTGTCCTGTTCGGAGGTATGGCTGGCTCTGTGCCTCTGGCGGGCTCTCTACGGTCCTATCTTTGGTGGACATGGTCCAGCCCAGGCCCCTCCCCAATTATTAGTCCTTCCCTTCCCACTCTCTGGGCTGGCATCTATCTGGTGCCCTTGCCCACACGTCCTGGCTCCTGGGCATGATCCCTTGCCTCTGCGTGTCAGGTTCCTCCCCTTTCTCATCTCTCCACTGTGGCCTCCTCGGCTCAAGGGCCATGGCCTGTGAGTGTAGGGCCCAGCATGACTGGACCCTCAGGGCGGGGCTGGACATTGGCCTTGAGGGCCCTGAGACCACATCCCCATGATGGTGACATCTGTCTCTCAGGTCTCATTGGCTCAGCCTTCTCTGTCCTGCAGTTTCTGTGTGCACCACTCACTGGGGCCACCTCTGACTGCTTGGGGAGGCGCCCGGTGATGCTGCTGTGCCTGGTATGTCCCTGGGACTGGGTGCCCATGGGGAAGCCTCCTCCCACCCAGCCAGTAGCCCCATGGGGTTAGGTGGGGAGAGGGAGGTGGCTGTGGGCCACTCATGGCCACTTGTTGGCCCTCATCACATCCTGGAGGGGGTTCTCTGGGGGACCAGTGGCTCCTGTTGCAAAGCTAGGCTTTCGAGGAGGTGCTCCTGCCCCCTAGGAAGGCATTGAGAACACAGTGGCCCTCAGATGCTTCGAAATAGGGCAGGGTTGAGGGGTATTGCCTGGGTTACCAAGTCCTACTCTGAGCCACTCCTGGCCTTAAGTGACCGCCCCTGCCCCTTGGCCCCTGCCCCTGGGCAGATGGGTGTGGCCACCTCATATGCAGTCTGGGCCACCTCTCGGAGCTTTGCGGCCTTCCTGGCCTCCAGGCTGATTGGGGGCATCAGCAAAGGGAACGTCAGCCTCTCCACGGCCATCGTTGCTGACCTGGGCTCGCCTCTGGCCCGCAGCCAAGGCATGGTAAGGCTGGGCCTTTGGGGTCCGGGTGTGGACTTCTGGGCCTGGGTCTCCCTGTGCAGCTCAGGTGGCCTTTTCTCTAGGCGGTCATTGGGGTGGCCTTCTCACTGGGCTTCACCCTGGGCCCTATGCTTGGAGCCTCCCTGCCCCTGGAAATGGCACCCTGGTTTGCCCTGCTCTTCGCAGCCTCCGACCTGCTGTTTATCTTCTGTTTCCTGCCGGAGACGCTGCCCCTGGAGAAACGGGTAGGGCTGCGGTCCGGGACCCACAGGCCCAGGGGCTGGGGGCTTGGTTCTGTAGCACTGTAAAATGCCCCTGTGTGCCAGCCCCAGGTGCCAGGGAGGCTGGGCCGCCCTCTTGGTGTTGGGGCTCTTGAGGCCACAGTCTGCGGGTTGCCAGGCCAGCAGCTGCTCCTGCAGGCTCTCCAATCCCATCCCCACAGGCGCCATCTGTCCCCCCGGGATTCCGTGACGTCCAGTCCCGTCCCCACAGGCGCCGTCTGTCTCCCCGGGGCTCCGTGATCTCCAATCCTGTCCCCACAGGCGCCGTCTGTCTCCCTGGGGTTCCGTGATCTCCAATCCTGTCCCCACAGGCGCCGTCTGTGTCCCTGGGGCTCCATGATGCGGCCGATCTGCTCAGCCCCCTGGCCCTGCTGCGCTTCTCAGCCGTCGCTCGTGGCCAGGACCCACCCACTGGAGACAGTAAGGACTCAACCCACCCGAGTGTGGAGCCTGCTCTCCCTTGCGCGTCCCCAGGCGGAGCCCTTCCCTGCTGTGGTCACCTTCTCAGCGCCCTCCACCTCTCCCCAGGGCTCAGCAGCCTGCGCCGCCTGGGCCTCGTCTACTTCCTCTACCTCTTCCTGTTCTCGGGCCTGGAGTACACGCTGAGCTTCCTCACACACCAGCGCTTCCAGTTCAGCAGGTGGATCCTCATCTGGGGACAGCCTGCTGTCTTCCAGAACGCCCCTGCTTCAGGGATGACCCCTCCCAAGCCCCATCCCCAGGAAGCCTTGGCAGCCACTCTCGCCCTGGCCCTGCCCCGGGTGACCCTGCCCGGGTGACCCTGCACTAACGCTCCTGCTCCCAGCCTACAGCAGGGGAAGATGTTTTTCCTCATCGGCCTCACCATGGCCACCATCCAGGGTGCCTATGCCCGGCGGATCCACCCCGGCGGGGAAGTTGCTGCCGTGAAGCGGGTAGGGGGCTCCCTCCGAAGCGGGTGGCAGGCAGTCCCCTGAGCCCTGTGGGGCACGGGCTGTGCTGAGGCTGCCGTGCCCACCTGCAGGCCCTCCTACTGCTGGTGCCTGCCTTCCTCCTCATTGGCTGGAGCCATTCTCTGCCCATGCTGGGCCTGGGGCTGCTGCTGTACTCTTTTGGTGAGTGGCCCTGCCCTGGCAGGGGATCCGATGGGCAGCAGGGCTGGGTGATGCGCCCTCCCCTGGGCTGATGGGAGCCTCCTCAATGTCCCCCACCAGCCGCCGCCGTTGTGGTGCCCTGCCTGTCCTCCGTGGTCGCTGGCTATGGTAAGACCTTTCCCTCAGCCAAAGCCACCTAAGCCGGAGAAGGGCAGTGGCCGCTGACTACGCCTCTCCCCACAGGCTCACCAGGGCAGAAGGGCACGGTCATGGGTACACTGCGCAGCCTAGGCGCTCTGGCCAGGGCCGCGGGGCCCCTGGTGGCTGCTTCAGGTGAGGGTGCGGGATAGTGCTGGGTCAGGCTGGGGGCCGGGCACCTGCTCTCACCTCCCCAGTGCCAGCCCCCTTGGAGCCTGGGTGACGCTGCCGTCTCTCCGCAGTGTACTGGCTGGCCGGGGCCCAGGCCTGCTTCACTACGTGGTCCGGGCTCTTCTTGCTGCCCTTCCTCCTCCTGCAGAAGCTGAATTACTCGGCACAGACGCTCAAGGCTGAGTAGCTGAGCCACTGTGCCCAGGCTGTGGGCACCAGGCAGAGTGGGAGCCTGGGTCAGAGCCCTGCCCACTGCCTGACCCCCCTCCTTCCCAGTCCAGGGAGACCCTGTGGGTGGGAGCCGGCCCCCCAGCAGGAAGCCCAGGCAGCTCCTCCAGACTCATTGCTATTAATGACTCCAGGCGGCAGCATTCCAAGGCTGTCCGGGTTGGTTTGTTTTCTAAACTATGCACCAGGTTTCTGATGATGAAATAAAGCACCTGTTTTATACCAAATGCCTTTCTCCGTACGTAGCCGGGCCTCTACCCACACCAGGAGAGGCAGCTAGAGCTGAATGAATAGTTCCACTGACCAGAAGGGTCTAAGGCTCTTCGAGACTCTCAGTTTCCCCCTCTGCAGTGGCAGCCTGGGGACTCAGGCCCCTCCAAGGCTGGGGTCAGCCCTGGCCAGGTGGTATCTGGCAGCGTGCCCGGCACCCTGGCAGGCTATCTCCCGCACAGAGCCCTCCCCATCAGACATGAGCACACAGTGACGGTGAGACGGGGACCGTGGGGACAAGGACAGGCCAGCAGCTCCCTGGACACCCTGAGTTCCCATGGGGAGGGACAACAGGAGTGCCGGGTGGAACGTCCCGCACCCATGGCTGCAGACGACGTTTTATCAAGACATGAACATTTGGAGGTCTCCTTTCGGCACACAGACAAACTTGGGAACAAAAAAATTAAAATATAAAACTGCTTCCCAGATTTAGACAAAGAAATTGCTGAAAGAATTTTATTTGTGAGTAAAACATGTTACACTGGAGAAAGGACATTCAGGACCTGTCCTCCCAAGTCGGTGTCCATATATGCAACTATATTTCATGTTGTAATACAAAGGATTAAACTACAAAAGTGAAAATTAAGTCATTGCATATGTGGGGTAAAGGAAGGGATAAAAGGGGATAAAGGAAGAGTCCACGGTTAAGGACTTTTCATTCTGCCTTGGCAACAAAACGACACAGAAGAGAGGCAGCACGCTTGCCCGCGTAGCAGGCCCTGCGGCTCAGAGGAAGCTCGAAGCGGCAGGCAGTGCCATGCGGCAGCCTGCTTCTCGCTCGGCTGGCCAATCAGTGGGATCCGAGGTGGCTCGGCCCATCATGCCCAGGGTCTGAGCCCACACCTGGCACCAGCTCTATCAGGGACCTGTTGGGCCCACACAAGCTTGCCTGCACCTAGTCAGACTGGTACCAGGCAGCTCCTGAAATGGGTCACCCTCCAGTTCCTGCTCAGCAGCTCTGAGCCCTTTTCCAGCCTCTTCCAGGGAAGTGAAAACAACAGTATTAGCCAAGGAGCGCACGTCTCAGCCTCCCTCAGTGACGACCATGTCGAGGGGCCCCGGGGCTACTCTCCACCTCGAGTTACCTTTTATCACAACTAGGGCATCTTTCTGGCTGAGTTAACGGTGAGAACAGATCCCCTGAAACCTCCCCCAAGTAAGTGAAAAGTGCTCTACTATGGGGTCTGGAAAGAAAAAAGCAAAAAGCCTGTTCACGTTCACAGTCAAAAAATATAAGCTAAATTGTAAACCTACTCAAAGAAAATTCTAGAAAGGACTCTTCCCCTCCTGATACACCTTCCCTATGACAGGAATCCAGAGACCCAAGTGAAAAAACTGAGCTCCTGAATCTGGTTGTGGTCAAGGGCTCATCGGTCAGACATGCATAGCATCGCGATCTGCCGCTGGCGTTTCCTGCCCAGCGTCTGGCCCAGACCTGCCTCTTCAAGGCCGCTGGTGGGCACACGAGTGTTTTCACGGGACCAAGGCTGTGTATATAGACTTAAGTGAGATCACTGAGCAGAGAGAATGCCACATGGAACCAGGAGTCTGAGTCCGTCACCTGAGACCTTAGGGTGGAGGGAAGCCGAGCAGAAACAGAATGTGCTGATTTCACAACAGGAAGGGTGGCAGGAAAGGTCAAGGCTCAGGAGGGTGACACCTGTGGCCACAGCTGCAGCAGCCTCCAGTACCTTCCAGCTAGGACCATGACTTAGTGCCTCCCCGGTGTGGGGAGAGCACATCTCCCCCAGAAGCTGAGGCTGAGAGGACAAGAGGCGGGGGGTGGGACTGCTGCGCACACGCGGGGTCAGCCCAGGGCTACACAGGGCTGCTCACGTGCGGGGACCCCTAGCTAGTGGAGGGCTTGGCTTTTTGCATTCCATTACACAAGGACAGGGCACGGACGCAGTCGGGGACTCTGGCGGGCCAGGGTCGCTCCGGACAGGACAGTGTTAGCGTGGGGCCTTCAGGAGTCACTCTTCTTCTTGCTCTTCTTCAGAAAGGACGGGGTACGGAACTTCTTCTTCTTTTTGGACGGGGACTTGCCTGGAGACCCATCGCTGCCAGGGTCCGCGGCGGCCCCCTCCTCGGCAGCTGAGGGGGCAGCCTCTTCAGCCACCGGGGCTGGGTCTGGGGCTGGCTCGGGGCTGGCCTCAGTAGGGGCCTCAGTGGGGCTTGGGGGTCTCTGGGCTTCCTCCTCCTTCTCTAACATAGGGAAGCCGAGTGCTTCTGAAGGCTCGTCAGGGGACAGATCGGGGAGAGTTGGCTTAAAGGTGGCGGCATCACTGTCATCTCCAGTAGCTGGCTCCGGCACAAGGTCTAGTGGGTGAGGTGAGAGATGGGGTTAAGGGTTCCTGCCCAGATCTCAAAGGGCAGCTTGAGATGGGGGCACCCCACACAGGAAACTGCCATTTCATTTTATTCTACGGATTTTTACCAAGGCAAGAAACTTAAAATATGGTCTACTCTACTGTACGGCTGGATGGAGCTAATATCACAAAACACAGACTTGGTCTCGGGGTAGCTTTTAGCTCCTTCTTGTGGGCAGTGTGGTGACACCACCAGACTCCGCCCCAGGCTTGGGTCCCCCCACCAGAAAGACTGCAGCACAAGCTGAGGACAGCTAAAGGAGCGACGTCCCGCTTTCATTATGTGAAGATAAGTCTGCCCTGTCACCTTAAGGGCATGTATTCATAGTCGTGAAATTAAGTCTAAATTTGGGTCCACAACACCTGGTCTCCCCCAAAACAGCCAGTAGAAAATTGTGCGTAACTCCCACAGCACGTGTGATGTCAACATCCAAAAGAACAAAGCCGTTTAGGATGGAAGTTAATTAAAAGGAAAAAGACGGCCTTTAAGGCAAGGAGCGGGGGCAAAAACTCCCAACCAGCATCAGGAGTGGCCCTCTGTGAAGGAGCACGTCGGCCCTGAGGACACGGCCTGGGGGCGCCTTCCTTCCACACTTACCCGGCACCCGCTTTGTCCATTCCATTCGTAAACAGCCTACAACATTACCAGCAACTGACAGGTTAGACACCACAAGCTGTTTAGTGTTTAAAAATCAAGCCACACATCAGGGCCAGGGGAGTCAGCTGAGTGGTTAGGAGCAGCACAGGAGGCCCAGGCCCCAAACCCTCAAGGCTTTACCTTTGGGAAGCTGGAAGCGCCCCCACCCCGCCGGCTGCCCCAGGCTAATTCCAGGCCAGGCTTCTTGAGGCCGGGAGAGGGCTGTGGGCACACAGGCGCCGCTCCCTGTGAGGAGGTGGGGCCCGCTCTGCTGGGCACGGTGCGGCTGATGCTAGGACAGAGGCTGCCCCAGGGTGCTCGCTCTGGAGAGCTGCCATCCTCTGAGCCAACATCACACTGGCTTTAAAAGGGTCCAATATCCGCTCCTCTGCCCACCTTCCTTGGACCAGCTTCAGCAAAGCTCTAAGGCAATCCGACCCCACACAGCAGGTGGCAGAACCCCAGCCTGTCTGAACCGAGGCTGCCCTTAACGTCTGATCCAGTGTGGTAAAACCCTCCCACCAAGCAATCCAAAGAGACCCTCGAAGGCCGGAGGTAAGAACCTCTGAGGCCCAGAGTGCTCCAGTGGCACCTAGGTGCATAGAGGCCCTGAGGGAGGCACCCGCTGCCGCTCAAGGCAGCACAGTGCTCAGGTGACTGAGCCACTTCCAGGAAGGCCTCCAAAGGACTGGGTCCAAAAAAGGGGGGGCTTCTGTTTTTATTTTAAATAAACAGAAAACAAAATAAACAACAAAGAAGCAGGAGAATGAGGCGAAGCACAGGGCACCGGTGCAGAGCGGAGGCAGTGCGGTACTTACTAGGGTAACAGGTACTCTCTAGCGCATCCGTCTCCTGCTTGTGACGCAGCCACAGGAAGAAAAAAGCACAAGGAGAGAATCTATGCATTCAGTCACAGCCATCAGGTTACAGAAGAAGAAAGGCAGGGCCATGGGCTTCACGAGAGACACGGATGTACGAGACCGAGGGACAGACACCCGGGATCACACACCACAGACACACGGTGGCTGAGAGGCAGCCGGCGTGTGGCTCACACAGCGGAGAGCAACTCCGGAGGTGGCATCTGCATGACAACACGGCACAAGGAGTGGGCGAGCAATGGGCAACGCAGACACCAGCAACCACGGTGGGTTCCGACCCCCGAGGCCAGCCTTCCTACTTGGTCACAGCTCACATACAAATCTGTTTTGCCTGGAGTTACCCAGGACAGAACCAATATAGGAGAAAAGAAGTGTCACGTCTTGGCGTTGATGCAAGCACACACTTCTCTGTTGGTGTTAACACAACTCCCGCCACGTTCCGCCACAGCGCGCACGAGCCGTGCACCCTCCCACAGTGGCGGCCACTGCCACCCAGAGCTCACCTTCCTCCAGCTTGATGGGAGTGCTGGGAGGTGGGTGGGGGACCGCAGGCTGGTCTGGAGGACTCTTTTCTTTCTGTTCTCTAGCCTCGTCCAGATTCTCTGCAGAGAAACAACAAGGATATGGTAGGAGCTGTGGACGCCATGAGCCTGCACCTGCCTCCGTGGCAGATGGGGCAGCCTGCTCGGCCGCCCTCTGAGAAGGCAGGGCTCTCAACCCTTTCCCTGTTCCTCTCCGAGAGCGGATAAAGGAAGCTGTGACCTGGGTGTTGACTGATGTGAATTTCAGAGAAACATAAACAACTTCAGATACAAAATTCATTTCTATTCTTATTCCAAAGAGAATCTGCCAGAGCTGGCTCTGTGATGGACTCAAATGGTGTGCCCTGGCCTGTCCCCCGCTGTCCTGTGCGAGTAGGCAGCCCCTCCCTCCCAACCTTCTCCCTGCTAAGCAGGTGGCGGAGGGTCCTGAGCCCACCCACCACCTCAAGGGACATCACATGAGCAATTATTTTGGTTTTAATTCTGTGGTAGGGCATTTTATCCCAATAATTTAAACTTGGCAACTGTAAT